TCTCAATGGGGGAAATAGGAGAAACATCTGTAACGAAAATAAATAAATAATAAAATAAATTAAACAATGCAAAAATAAAATAAAATGAGAAAACATAATGCGATAAACAAATCTGGGTAGACTTAAGAAGTGATGTTCAAATCCTATATAGAAAACAAAACTAAACTTGAACAAATAAAATGATATGCTATTCTTGGTTGAGGAGATTCAATGTCATAAAGGTGCCAATTTCCTCAAATTAATGTATTAATTCATTGTGCTTCAAATTAAATGTCATTAGCATGTTTGTGTGGATTTAGACAATTATTATATTACACAATAATTCACCAAAATTATCAAAAATACTTGGGAGAAAAAAACTAGAATAATCAAATAAAGCCTGAAAGGGAAGTGTGGTGGGAGGGGGTGGCAGATAGTCCTACCAGATATTAAAATATATAGTAATGAATGTACAATATGAGAATGTAGTACTGTCCTTTGAATCGACAGAAAGATTAATGAAGCAGAATAGAAAATATTGATATAGGTCCAATTATATTTAGAAATGTTCAACATGATTAATGCAGCATTTTAAATGAGTGAATATATTATAGATGGTTTAAGAATCAATATTGTGATAACTAGATAACCTTATGGTTAAAAAGTTAAAAAAGAGATTTATTTCTCCATCTTACATCAAGAGAAATTACAAATAGTTGAGATTTAAATGTAAAAAAAAAAAAAAAAAGAATCCATGTAAGTATTAGAAGAAAACATGAATGAACATCTCTATAATCTGGAAGTAGAGATAACTTTCCTAACTATGACTTAAAATCCAAGCACATTAAAGAAAAAAAAAAGATTAATAAATTTGACTAGGTAAAAGTAACAATAACTTTGCAGGCTAAAACACATGATAATCAATCAAAAAATATTAGGAAAGAATATTTACAACTAATATATCTAACATAGTGTTGATAATCCTTCCACTCCCATGCCCTATCACACCCCACCCCCCACATACACTTCAGTGGAGGTTGAGTGGGTAACCAGGACTTTCATCACTACCTGGCAGTAATGAGACCCACCCCTTAACCCATGGTGTCAAGGAGGCCACATGGGGAGTGGCAAGGGGGTCTTCTTCCTCTCCCAGAAAGGGTAGTATATGTGGACAGTTAGAGATCACACATCTACCAAACAGTAATGAGGCACCTCTTCCCTGCCAAATCCAGTGTCACTGAATTCTGAGAGGAGGACCTGGACTTTTATTCCCACCTATCTGTTATGAAACTGCAATCTCCTTCCCCGACTGGTATGGTATCACTGAAGCCATGCTAAAACAGATTATTTAATTAAGATCCAGAGTCTAATAACAATATCTCAAAATATCCCAGATATAGACAAAAATCCCTCTTCTATCCAAGAACTGGGAAAATCTTAACTTGAGAAAAGATTATCAACAGATGCCAACATTAAGATGACACAGATATTGAAGTTATCTGACATAATTTTAAGGTAATCATAGAAATAGTGAAATGTATAAATACAAATATGTTTGAAAACAATAAAAAATATAAAGTCTCGACAAAGAAATAGAAGGGACACAGAAGAACTGAATGGAAATTTTAGAGTTGAAACATATAATAACTGAAATTACAACTCAGTTGATGAATTCAGTAGTAAAATGGAGAGGAGAGAAAAAAAAGAATCAGTGAACATGAAGATAGAACATAAATTCCCCAATTTGAACAACAGAGAGAAAATAGAATTTTTTAAAAAATGGAACAAAGCATCAGAGACCTGTGGTGTTATAACAAAAGATATAATATTCATGTCATGATGTCTTGGAAAGGAAGAGAAGTGGTACATGACATAAAAAGTGTTTGAAGGAAAAATGGCTGACAAACTTCAAATTTGGCAAAACACATAAACCTACAAGTTTAAGAAGTTCAGTGGGACCCAAACAAGATAATCCCAAAGAAATTAATGCAAACACACATCATGATCCAACTTCAGATAAATTAAACACACACACAAAAAACTTTTTGAAAGCGGAGACAGAGAAATGACATAACTACCTATATGACAAAAACTATGTGAATGACAGAATAATTTTCATAAGTAATCCTGGAGTAGAAGAAACTGGCATATTTTTCAAGCACTGAAAAAAAAAACTGTCAACCTAAAATGTTATATCTGGCTAAGTTATCCTTCAGGAATCAAAGAGAATGTAAACATTCTCTGATGAAAGAAAACTAAGAGAATTTGGCACCAGCAGATACACCCTAAAATAATGGTTAAAAGAGGTTCTAAAAGCAGAAATGAATTGGTAAAGAAGGACACTTGCAACATTAGTAAAGAAGAAATAAAAATATAATAAATAAAATAGGTTTTTTTCCTTCTCTTGAGATTTCTAAATTTTGTTTGATGCTTGAAGGAAATGTATAACACTGCCTGGTATGGTTCTCAATTATTTTTTTTAGGAGGAAATAAAAAGATTAGACTTGTAATGCTTAATTTAATGTGTCAACTTGAATGGCCAAAGATGACTATATAGCTGATAAAACAATATTTCTGGGTGTGTCTGTGAGGGTGCTTCTGGAAGAGATTAGCATTTGGTTCATTAGGTTGAGTAAAGAGACCTACCTTCATCAGTGTGGGCAAGCATCATCTAATCCATTAGGGGACCCAAATGGAACAAAAAGGCAAAGAAAAGACAAATTCTCTCTCTTCTTTTTTTTTGAAACATCCATTTTCTCCTGCCTTCAGCTATTGGAGCTCCGGCTTATTGGACTTCTGGACTCTGGCACTCACACCAGTGGCCCCCTGGTGTTCAGGCCTTTTACTTTGGAGTGGGGATTACACTATGGCTCCCTGGGTTCTCAGATTTTTAGTTTCATGCTGAAGTATATCACTGCTTTCTTGGTTCTTCAGCTTCATTGCAGATTGTGGGAATTTTTAGGCTCCATAACTATGTAAGCCAATTCCTACATATATATGGAGATGTATTATAAGAACTGGCTTACACAGTTATGGAGGCTGAGAAGTCCCACTATCAATTGGATGTCCTACTGATTCTGTACTCTGGAGAACCCTGACTCTAATTTGAATCTATTTCATCTCCTCATGAAATTGATTACAATGAGTATTTTTCTAAGGTAATGAATGTATGTGCACATATATGTGCACTATTATCTTCATCATCAAGAGGGGCTTTTGAGTACCCATGAGGCTTATTATATCAGAGGAAAGCAAAATGACCATTTCTCCCACCCTGGAAGCCCACGTTCTAAAAGAGAGACTGCTCTGTGTCTTCTAGGACCAGAGATGAAAGCTCATTACCTTCTTATCAATTATTTGGAGAGGTGATATAGGACCTATGAGAACCAGCTTAGTCACCTGTGAAGAGGGACTCGGGCTAACTTCATCACAGAGATATCCTGCGGAGTAAATGAGAAAACCTGCCCAAATGTATGTCGTGTGGTAGGACTTCAATGGCCTTTAAATGTTGGGACACCGCAGTGGGGGCTGGCTGAGCCTCGGGGTCAAGGCTGGCATTGTGAAAAGTCATTTTTCATTGTTTCTCCTCATGAGAAGACAGGTATTTTTATGAAGGAAGAATATACCTCTGATATACCTAGGTTCAAGGTTTTGGAGTTAGAAGGTTCTCTACTGTTTTAGGTGTTTCTAAAGCTCGTAAGAGTTGTCCAACATCATACCTCTGAGGAGACCCTAATCCAGTTCCCACACCGGGAAGACAGGCTTGTCTCTGACTTACCTGGTGATCTCAGTGAGAGATCACACCAGGCAGCAAGGTGTGGTAACTGCCTAACTGCTGCTCCTGGAGGGCTCCCTATTTTCATATATTTCTAGGAAAATTCTATACCCGCCCCACAATCATGAGAGCAGGAGTCTTCAGGTCACGCATTATCCATCTACATCATGCCAGGATTTCAATTATCTGCTGTCAACCTGTGTGAAAAAAATTTTAAATTACTAACATTTCTTTGGCATACAATTTTCTGTTCTATCATTAAATAATAGCTAAATATCTATTGGGCTTAAAACTCATCCTATTCCGTGGGCAGTGTCTCATTAACTCTGTAGTGGAAACAAGAAGGAAAGAAGGGAAGTGAATATGTGGGCAAACTCAAGGGTTAAATTTGAGTTGAGATGATTCATTCACATTAACTTTTTTTTTTTTAATTTATCTTCATTGTTGAAGGTATTACAGATGTCTCTCCTGTTTCCCCTATTGACACCCTCCTCTCTACTCCCACCCACGCCCCACCATCACCACACTGTTGTCTGTGTCCATTGGTTATGCGTATATGCATATCAGTCTTTTGGTCTATCTCTTCCCACCCCCCATCCTGCTTTCCTGAGTTTTGTCAGTCTGTTTACTATTTCCATGTCTCTGGATCTGAATTGTTCATCAGTTTATTTTGTTCATAATATCCCACTAATAAGTGAGAACATGTGGAACTTGTCTTTCTCTGACTAGCTTATTTCACTTAGCATAATATTCTCCAGGTCCCTCCATGTTGTCTCTAGATCTTTCTTTCTCACAGCTGCATAGTATTCCATTGTATAAATGTACCATGCTTTTTTAAACCACTCAACTTGCTCAAAATGTAAGTCTTTGAAGATTTAAAAATTCCTCCTATCCTTACTTGGACCCATCATCCCCATGCAGCTACTGTAAGATGAGACCTTATCTTTTGTAGATAAGTATACAAATGTATGCTTACATGCATAAATATCTGCATAAGCAAACTTCTGGAAAAATATAACATAGATTAAAACATTCGGGGCTTATCTTTGGGTATTATGAGTGGAGATAATGATTTTTCTCCCTCCACATTTAGTGTAGCATATGCAGTAGAACAAGCTCTTATGGCACAGTGTGTCAGTAAAGAAACAAGGTCTGTAAAATTCATAAATATACACACCTATTTAAAACAAGTAAGTAGCTTAATATGTACTGAGAGTGAACTCCTATCCCTATGCACACCCAGCACTCACTTCTGAGACCACTGGAGGCTCATCCCAGGCGGGGTGGAGAAAACCTGCACCATTTCCTGCTGATTCTGGGAGAGGGTGGGCCTGGAGCTACAGGAGGGTGTGGATACTCAGATGGAGGATGCAGACTCTGAGTCGTGTTGGAGATGGCGTCCCTCACAAACAGCTCATCATTCATGATGCATAGACTGGAGAAAAACGATCCCTCAGACAACTGAAGAATGTACAACCCTACCCCTCAACAATGATCTTGTTTCCATGCCCAGTCAGCAACCAGATTCCTCCCATACCCCACCTGTACCTGCACCCAGATTCCTTGCCTGGTAGCTCTGTCCCTCTCACAGACCCCACCCTTGGAGAGATTGTCTATCAGCTTCACTATATTTGTACTTTACCTGCAACCCAGAGTTGATTTCATACAAGCATTTATCCTTTACAAAAACCCAAGGGAGTGGACAGTCTAATCCTATCTTCAGAAGAAGACATAGTGTCACAGACAGGTCATGTGACTTGACCATCATCACAAGCCTCATGAGTGCTGGAGTAAAGAAGAGAACCCAGTATTCTAACTCTAGGACCCATGCTCAAAACCCCTGTGCAGGCCTGTTCCTTGGATCTACCTGTTGGCTTCCCACAACACAGAGAAAACCTCGAGGACATGCACTGGCACATTCTCACAGGCCTGACCCACGCTGGGCTCCATGTTCCCTCCCAGTGCACAGCACTCACCTGGAATTGCCGGCAGGGGTGGCGATGAAGGTCCGGGTGAAGGCACGAAGAATACCCTGAGACCTTCCTTCCACTTCAACAACAACAACAAACAAAAACTTCTTGGAGCCACGTTTCACACACTCACACAGCATTCCCCAGTCAGAGTGGAAGTTGGTACTCATGCCAAGGGGACAACTGTTCACTGGTGGTGAGGATGTTGGGTATGGGAAGGGCAAAATAGCAGCAATCTGCTCACAGTGATGTAGGCACTACTATGTGCCGGATCCTGGGACAAATACTTCATTTCACTTGGTTCATTTTTTGAGGCTACCCAAGAGATGGGCATTATAAATCTCATTTTGTAAATGAGAAAAATAGGAGGTGAGATAATGGGCCCATGTTTGCACAGTCAGGATCTGGGATTACAGCCATCAAACACCACACTTGTGTGCCCCATGCTTCAGCTGTGCGGGGCTGACAGGCGTGGATGCAGGTCAGACCAGGATGGTTTGGGGGCAGACTGAGGCAGGAGAGCACAGAGGAAACAGTAAGTAAAGGGAAGGGATCAGGGAAGCTGAGAGAGTTCTGAGAGGGAGCCCAGCCAGGGGGAGGGAGCAGTGGGCAACAGGAAAGGGGACTGTAAACACACCTTCCTTGAACATCCCTTTGACAGAGAAGCAGAGCATCCTTTCCTGAAAAAAAAAAAAAAAAAAAGAACAAGAAGAATACTGCAGATGCTCAGCTACCACCTACACCTCCCACATATCTGACTCTTTTGGGCATGCCCGAGGGAGGAAGCGGGTGCTCACCGACTGGAACCACATGTCCACCAGGAAGGAGCTGAGGTCATGCTGAGTTTTGGGCAATACACAGAGGGAGCTCACAATGTCATGTTTTCTATGTTTCAGCAGCTGAAAACGCAGGTCTGTGAGGGAAGGATAGCAAAAGTCAGGGTTGCCTCTTCCTGAGCCCTATGACCGACCCCTTCACTCCTCCTTTCCTGCCCCAATAGTCCCCATCCCACACGCACTGGAGTCCTTGAGGTTCTTCATATTCCTGTTATCCTTGAAGTACACAAACAAGTTGCTTCTAGGAGAAAAGAAAAAACAACAACAAAATAGGTTGTGACGGTCTGGCCAGTGTGGCTGTTTCCATCAGCTGGCCGGTTTCTGCTGGGGAGACACACGCCCCAGAACCAGAGCCTGAGTTGCGGTACTCACGGGGCTGGGTCGCCCTGGATGAAGGGAATGGTCATGGAGAAGCAGGCCTCATCATGATAAGCACAGAGAAGACAGTGCCGGTCTCCAGAGTCATAGATCAAGTAGTACCTGTGGAGGAGCAAAGGGGACAGGCTGCCTGTGTTAACCGAACCCCAGATGAGATGTGAGAGTCCTAATCAGCAGTCCCAGGCCTCCCCATTCCTGGTGGAGTTCCCATGGATACTTACTGCTGCAGAAATTGCATGATCAGACTCTTCAGGGTATCAGAACCAAAGAAACTTCCCTGAAATCAAAACAGTCCTCAGGACCATGGATAATACCCCACCCTCATTCACCACTTAAAACCTTGCTAGATCCCCCCTCCTCACCTTGTAGGATGGTAACTTCTTTGGGGCTTCAATCCCAAAATTAGTTAGTGGGGGTGGCTCCTGGCCATCCTGAGGAAGAAAGAGGACCTCAGCCTTGCAGACCAGAAGGTGGTGCTGAATGATCAGGAAGAGGATGGACCCAGGAGAGGGTGGGGGTCAGAAGTCAGATGCAAAAGAGCCCAAGAAAGTCCATGGGCAGAACTACACTTGTATCATCATCATGGGGCCCTGGGGCCTATGGAGAACTTGTGTGAAGAAGGTCCCGAGCTTCTGTCAGGTTACTACATGGGTCAATGCACCAGTGAGGATTAACAGTCAGATCCAAAAATGTAACTTGGGCCTGACCTAAATGAGGTCAGAACAGGTTAAGTGTGTCAACATCACTTAAAGAAGTCAGTGATGGCCCTGGCCAATTTGGCTCAGGGGATTAGAGCAGCAGCCCACAGACCAGAGAGTCCCAGGTTCGGTTCCCGCTAAGGGCACATACCTCAGTTGCAGTTTGTCCCCGGCCTCGGTTGGGGTCGTGTGGCTGGCAACCACTCGATGTGTCTCTCACATCGATGTTTCTCTCTCTCTTCCTCCTGCTCTATCTGAACATAAATGCAACAATGTCCTCGGGTGAGGATAAAAAAAAAAACAAAAAACATCAGTGATGGAGGAATACACTTACCAGGCATGATAATTTGGGGAACAATTCGAGGATGGAACTGCCAAAATCAAGACAAAACAGAAATGTAAGTGACTCTGCAGAGCAGTCCTGCCTCATTGGACCAACCACACCTACACCAGACATACAACCCAGTGTGTCCCACCTATAGTCCAGGGCCCCAGCCCGCCAGGGACCTGGGAACCTTCTACATGGATTGACCATAGAAAGAGCACTTGTCCTCCCTCCCACCCTCCCAGCTCTCCCTCTCTATCCTCCTGCATAGTTCCCACTTCCATGCCCTGACTCCCTTCTCCAGGGGCCTATGGAGCAGCATTTGGAGTGCAAACCTTTCCTCTACGTACCACTGTCGGACCCTCAGGTCCCAGGTAGGAATGAAAACCTTGCACATGTTGGACTGGGGGTCCATTGGATAGTGGTTGAAACTTTGTCACCCGTGGGAACTCATTCTGAGCTGGGCAGGGGAATCAGCAGCCACGGGATCAGGAGACCTTCCCCAGAAGGAGTAAGCATCATGCCCCAGTTCAGCGTGGCGTTGGGGGTCTGTGGCCTCCTCTTAGGACCACTGACTTCTCTCTCATGGCCCCTGTGCACCTGTGCCTATCTTCGTTGATTCCTTGCTGAAGGAATCATACCCATTTCAGGCTACCCAGGGCTCCTCTGAAGGACCAAGCAGGTGATGTGTTATGTGGAAGGCGGGGCAGTGCCCCTGAGAGGCTTGTCCTCCAGTGTCTTCAACCACCTCCTCCCTCTGCCTTTCACTGCTACCTTAAGAAGCCCACTGCTTACTGGCGGTGACCCATTTCTGGCCCCTTAACTCGGGGAGATATGGTTTTTCTCAAGGAAGCCCAACTCGTGGCATGGTTCCAGAGGAACTGAAGTCATGACGGCAGCCACCCAAGGACTCAGCCTTCAGCGTGAAGCAGTAAAGTCCCCACGTCAGCGTGGGATTGGAGAAGTGCCCTTTTGGAACAAGGGAAGGAGGGCTCCTCTCAGGGCAGGGGAGGGCAGCCCCTTCCCAGCACAATAGGAAGGTCTGTCTCAAGATGAGGACCACTATTGGAGGACCCTTCCCATTCCAGGTCACCACCATCTGACCCAAGGCTGGTCGACCCTGGTGCTGGTAATAAGAGGATATCATGCTTCCTGGAGTACTATCTTAGGAGGGCATGCTGGGGCATTTTGGGTGCAGAGTCAGGAAACAAACCCCAGACCAGAGAACAGGTCAGAGGAAGGAAAGGAGGCCTCTGAGCACAGGTGAGGGACACAGAGAAGAGAGCCTAGGGCCTGTGGTCCTCCAAGAAGACCTATTTGCTGCCTCTACAAACAGGTACTATCAGGGATAGCTCAGGCTCACAAGGGGTGAAAGAGGGTGCAACTAACCTTATGTTGGTTGAATTATCTGGTAAGGTGGTGCACAGGGGGTTTATGTTTGCACTCATCTCTCCCGGCTCCAGCCCTTTGCCCTGGTCCAATCCCTCTGCTGACTTCACCTGTGATTATGAAGAGGAACACATAGACCAGAGAAAGAGGGCCAAGATGACCTTATCCCCAGTCCCTTCCTTTTCTAACACATCTACTTCACCGCCCCTTGTTATTACCCCATGGGGTTCAGCAGATTTGAGTCTGAGGAGGTGAAGGGGGAGAAAGGTGGGGGAAAAAGTGGGTCTGAATATGGATGCATAATTTGTCTTGAGTCTACATTACCTTTATCTGTTCCTCCTTTTCTGACTTCAGCTCCTTCTGCACAGACTTGGGTGCATCAGAGGGGCTGATAAAGAGAGATATCTACAGAGAACACAAGAGGGGCTGGGTAAGCACTTGGATATTTGAGCATTGGGATTAAACAATACCTTGCCCCTGTCCTCCCCTCTTGCCCCTAGCTAGCCCTAGTCATGCCCTTCACACACCTTCTCATTATTCTTATCCCAAATTTTGCCATTGACATTCTGCAATGCTAAGGCAATGCTGACATTCTCAACGAAGAACTGGGCCTGCATTTTGTCATAGTGAAACTATAGGGAGAGTGACAAGAGAAACAGAATATGAGACCAGAGCCATTGCTCATGTGCCCTGTTTCTTCTCATCCACCTCCCCATCCTCTCTTACTTCCACTGGAGTGAAGGGGATGCTGCATTGCCTCTGAATCAAATTCAGCAACCACTTCTCCTCATATTTTATGCCAAATGGAATCTAGGAGCCAAAGAAAAGAAAGGAGAGGAGATGGATATATAATGGGACCTAGGGTTAAGAAAAAACTCAACCATGTTTTTCTGGCAGATCCTTTTTCAGCCTTTAAAATAATTGTTTCTGATAAGACAATATCCATTATTGCTCATTGTTGTACCAGACATGAATTTCCTAAATACCATTCATTCCATTTAAATCGTTGTCTTCCAATAATCAATTTAAGATGTTTAATATGTTCTTCCTTTTACAAAGTTCCAAGGGATCCTACCTAAGGCAGACCTGGCCTTTGCCTCTCACAAGGACCCCAGAGACTCAATGTCCTCCCACACCCAGCTTGGGCCAAACTGTGCCTTCTGGTATGGAGTTGCTCCCTCTCCTTGGCAGTAGTTTCCTCCTTTGCTTTTAGACCACCTGTCCCATTCTCCTGGAGGTCAGTCAGTTTCCTTTGTATTGCTTCCCTGAGTCGGCCCTTAGATGACCTAGGATATTATCTCCTAGTAATAAAAAGACACATTGCCAACTCCTGTGCCCCAGCAAGGTATTTAGCATCTCTACATGAGTCCAACACAGCCTCCTTTGCTCACATTCTACACATTAGTTCCACTTTTCCAGGACACTTACAGTGATCTTGAACCACTTTCTTGAGGTCTCACCCTGCCTCTTCTCTTCCAGTTTTGTCTCTGGAGGATTTTGCTCTCTTTCCATGTTAACATGGGTGTGGTTTTGTGTCTGAAAATAGGCTCTCCGGTGATAGCGTGGAATGGCATAGGGAGCACTGTGGGGCATTGATGGGAAAAAAGTAGACCACATATGATCAGCAAGTCTTCTATACATGCTCATCCCATTGATACAAAGGCTGAAATAGTTTTCTCAATGATTAACTTCATCCTATCATTCCTCATTCTTCCAAGTTGGAGAGAAGAATGACATATTTAACTACAATGACATGTTTCTCACTGGCGGGTACATTTCAGCCATGCTATCTTGTCACTTACTATCTTACTCGGGTGTCCACGTGACCATCACTTTTGCTTGCATCTCCATCTTGTTGCTGGAGGTATGAAGAAGGAATACCAGACCTTACTTGTTCAGACAAACTGATATATCTCCTTCGGTAAATACCCCAGCTTGATCGTCTATATATGGTATTACCTTGAGTATTGTGCCCTGAAATAAAAAACAACATACCAGAAAATTTCCTGGTGTAATATCATAGCTAATGAATAGACACTACTGACTTAATAATCTAAAATGGAATACATGACAGTGCTAAAAACATTGAAAGACTTCACTTTGTTTCCACTTCCTCGGAGATGAGGGATAGGGAATATTCGCAGCCAAGAGGAAAGGCAGAGAGGAAAGAGTTTGGGTGTTGAGTTTAATCTGTGATGTTAGTATGTCATCTGCCCCATTCAGGCTAGCTGGCCTGGGACAAGTTGTTTATCATCTCTAACTTTTACTTCCCTCCTCTGCTCTAGGGGGATAATAAGATCTACCCTGAAAGTTTGGTGTTAGGGTTCAAGGGTCAAAGGTGAGTTCACACATGAGAAAGCAATTTGAAAAATGAAAGAGAAGTCTGATTAAAATATCCAGAATAACATCTGGAGAAACATAATATGAGAACCCCAAAAAAGGAGAGAGAATTAAAAGCGATCTGGTGAATATATCTAATCTGTGTTTAATTTGGGTCCCCGTATGAAGGAGAAGGTACAGTGCAGAAATGTTATTTGAAGAGATCATGGTTGTGAAGTTTCCAAAAGTAATAAGATATGAAGTCAGTATAACAATATTCATAGGAGAAAGAGTATACTTTAAGGATAAAACATTCCTAAAGAAAAGACATACATTTCAAAATGATGTTGACATAACAAAAACTGGGAACATTGTGACCAGAAGACTCAAACTCAAAGAAATATTGAGGATTGTTCTTCAGTGAGAAGAAATGTGATTCCAGATGGATGCACACAAATGCAGAAAAGAAAGACTAATGATATTTGTGACTATGTAGGGTAATCTAAAGGAATGTTGATTATATAGCACAATGATACTTTATTCGGGGGGGGGGATATATTCGAGGGAGAGAGAGAATTGAAATGTATGACAATATATTGGGAGGCAGTCAATGGAATCAAAGTGTTCCAAGGTCATTTACTTGTGTGAGGAGCTTTTAAAAACTAGTTTACATTAGACTATGAAAAGGCAAGACTATGTATCATATTCTTAAGGGTAAACACTAAGAAAATAAAGAGTGTTTAACTATCTAGCCAAATGAGGGAATAATTTAATAGTTAAATATATTAATCATTTCAAAAAAGATAGGAAAGTGACTTAGAACAGGCAAAAACCAATTTGTATCTATATTTACATCAATGGTTTCAGATTAAATATTCTAAATAGAAAAACAAGTATTATCAGAATGGATTAAAAAGCATTCTGTCAAATGTTCCTTTAAAGAGATATATATTTAAAATTTCATGATCTACAAAATTTGAATAAATAATTTGGCAAAATGTATCATTTACACACTATCCTCCTGAAAGCTCATACAACTGTGTTGGTAAAAGCTATACTTTTTAAAAAATTACTAAAGAAAAGAGTAAAAATTTTATTATAATACACCTAATGCAATAAGAAGATATTAATACAGAATTCTAAATTTGTATGAATATCTTACTATAGAGCCAAAGCTTGCAAAGCAAAAAATGACAAAAGTAAATAGATAAATGGAAAAATCTATGGTCATAGTGGAAACTTTTAATACAGCTCACTGATTGACACATAAAATGGCAGACAAAAATTCAGCTAGAAGATTTAAAAATGTGAATTAAGTAAATTAATATAAAACAGTGCACATAACAACCCAAAAGGAACATTCCAGAATAGGTCATATTCTGGGCCATAAAGCAAGCCCCAGGAAATTGTTATGGGGTAATACAATCTACCCTGAATAGCTGATGTAAGATTCAAGGCTAATAATGGGTTTTCTGCCCCACCCCTTACTTCTAGTATGCATCCAAATAATGTTAATTTATACATGGCCAACTTAGATGACCTTCCCCACTCTCCAAACCCTGGACCTAAGAGGACTGTATGACTCAAGTCTTTCCCCTTAAGCAGAAAAATAAATTTCACCTCAGCCAAATCCATAGGAGGGGAGCTTTTCCACATGGAACCAGGATGAGTGTGTCAGGGACCACTTGGCCCATTTCCTCAAGAGCACAGAAAACAGTCAGTCTGGGCCCTTGTCACCCTTCTTCTAAAGGGGGAATTCACCTGGATGAATTATCTGTGGGTTGGGGTATAGGAGAGGACCCAGAACTCCTCTAGCCCTGTGGAAATCTAAGTCTAAGGCCTCATGCTTATCAACTCACCCATGCTGTGGCCTGAAGACAGTGACCTGTCACCAATGTCCTCACAGGTTTCTTGTGAAGAGTATCTGTGCGGTCTGGAGCTGGAAGTTTGAAAAAGGTCGGGGTGGGTTGCTGAGGAAGACAAGAGTTGGATCCAAACAACTTCTTCAGTGCAAGATGGAATCTTTACAGGAAGTCTCTTCCTTAAAGGCATAGAGTAGAAAGCTCTGGGGACCAGAGGAGTCTAAACTTCCTATAAATACTGCCCTTTGAGTTTCCTATCAGTCTAACACCCAGGAAACTCTTTCCAATGGAACCACCCCTGCGGAGGAGGCCAACTACAATCAGGAGGCCTTGGGACTTAGGTAGCTGTATCTAAACACAGGAAATTCTGAATGCCAGGAGCTGGGTTGGCTGCACTGTACTGTGTTCTCTCATTCTGCAAACCCAGCGAACTTTGAGGGCCAGCTATTGGCCAGGCTCTGTACTTGCTACATTGCATCTGTTCTTTCATGTATTCTTCACAAGGCGACTCTGATATCAGAATCACCAGCTTTTCAAGGTTTCTGTGACAATGTAGTGCTTGAGCTTATCTGGAGGCATTCAGATGATAACTGGAGAAAGAGACTGGAATTGAACTCCATGTAATGAGGGCGACTGCTTCGGGCATAGCTTTATTAAATTCTTACTGCAATGTGTGGGATTTTCTTAAGTTAGGGTAGTGTAACAAAATGTTATCAAAATAGTCACATGGCTAGAATTCATCGAAGTCCATCTCAGAAAGATGATGCCCAAAACAAACAAAAACAGACCTGGAAAATATAAAGGGAATAGTAAGCAGAGTTTGGTGGGTCACTGTAACAAGAGTAGAAAAAAACAAATCATGTGTTCCTTTTTTTAAAAAATGTACAATCAGAGGGTTTTGCAAGGGGAAGGAAAGGGGAGAGGAGACTGGGAGTGGGATGGGTTAGAACGGAGTGGGGGTTGGGTTGTTTCAGTGCATCATCCAGAATTTTCTTGAATTTTCTACTCCTTGTCCATTATCCCTCACCAAATCTCTATGCCCTGAGAGAGGAAGTCCAGCTACTGAGAAAGGTGAAAAAAAATCTGCACATGAGAATGTGAACATTTGGGGTGAGGGAAGTGTAAGATAGAAATATACACACATACACAGATAAACTGTCAAATCAAAAATTGCATTTTTAATTTTATATAAAGCAGTCTCATAAACATTTTTATAACATGGTAAATATATATGAACTTTTCTGTCAATTAGCTATTAGATCTTTTCAAGTGTTTCTCTCAACAAATTTGCCTAATCAGAAAACATTAAACATTAAAAATATGTACTTAGAAAATAAAATCATTCTGTACCTTTCATCTATATAATCCTCTCATGGTCACTCACAGATATCCAAGATATCCCCTGTAAATATATCGGTGCATATTTTCCAGTTGTATTCTCTTTGGGTAATGTGTATACCTACCTTAAAATATTTGTGTAATATATATTTGTTATATATATATATTTTTTTTTTAATTTGCAATCACATAAGTCTCTGCAAATTAAAATTTTCACCTGTTATGACATTTCCAAATTTTCATTTATTTTTTATTGAATTTATTGTGGTGACATTGGTTAATAAAACCATACAGGTTTCAAGTGCATAACTCAATAAAACATCACCTGTATACTGCATCATGCACTCACCACTCAAACTCAATCCTCTTTCCAGTCCTACTTATCCCCCTTTGCCCACTTCCACCTTCCCCCACCTTCCTTTCCCTGACCCTCCTTTCCCTCTGGCTATCACCATACTGTTGTCTGTGTCTATGTGACATACAGTAGTCCCTCACCACTTCGCACTTCGACTTTCACGGCTTCACTCTATCGTGGTTTTATCAAATATTCATTAAAAAGTTGACCAAGACAGTGAAAATGATACAGTGCGCACTCGGTTGCCTGAGTCAATTAAACACCCCTGTATTACAATTACAATTAAAATTAAAATTACTGTACATATGGACTGTAGGCCTATGTATTCGAGCACCCCGGGAATCCTTCAATGCCAGGTGCAACCGCTAGAGTCTGGAACAAATCAGCCACGATAAACGAGGGATGACTGTGTGTGTGTGTGTGTGTGTGTGTGTGTGTGTATATATATATATATATTTGTTTAAACTCGTCACCATTTTGCACCCAGCCACCTAAATCCCTCCTCTCTGACAGCTGTCAGTCTGTTCTGTGTATCTATGATTCTGTTTCTCTTTTGTTGGTTAAATTATTTTGTTGATTAGACTCCACATATAAGTCAGATTATATGGTATTTGTCTTCCTCTGACTGGCTTATTTCACTTAGCATAATAATTTCCAAGTCCATTTATGCTGTCACAAGAGGTAAATTTCTTCTTTTCTATGGCCCAGGAGTATTCCATTGTGTAAATAAACTGCAGCTTTTTTATCCACTCATCTACTGATGGGCACTTGGGCTGTTTCCAGATCTTGGTTACTGTAAATAACGCTGCAATGAAAATAGGGGTGCATATAGTCTTTCAAATTAGTGTTACAGGTTTCTTAGGATATATTCCAGAGGTGGAATGACTGGGTCAAAAGGCAGATCCATTTTTAATGTTTTGAGGAAACTCCATATTGCTTTCCACAATGACTGCACTGATCTGCATTCCAACCAGCAGTTCACGAGTGTTTCCTTTTCTCCATATCTTCACCAGCACTTGTTTGTAGATTTATTTATTGATTGTTTGATTAATTTATTTATTTTTGTTACAGATGTTTCTCCTTTTCCCCCAACTGATTCCCCACTCCCACTTCCTCCCCGCCTTGTCCCCAGCTTTGTTGTCCATGTTCATTGTTCATGCATACATGCACGTAAGTTCTGTGGTTTATCTCTCCCCCACCACCCCCCCTTCTGGGGATTGTCATCTGTACCCCATCTCCAAATCTCTGAGACTACCCCATTCTGTTAATTTAATTATATTCCACAAATAAGTGAGCTTACATGATACCTGTCTTTCTCTGTTTGGCTTATTTCACTTAGTATAATACTTTCCAGGTCCCTCCATGTTGTCTCAAAGTATAAAAGATCTTTCTTTCTTACAGCCGCATAGTACTCCATTGTGTATATGTACCACAGCTTTTTTATCCATTTGTCTACTGGTGGACATTTGGGCTGTTTCCAGATCTTAGCTATTGTAAATAGTGCTGCTATGAACATGGGGATACATATATTCTTTCTGATTGGTGTTTCAGGCTTCTTAGAGTATATTCCCAGAAGTCAAATGGCAGTTCAATTTTTAATTGTTTGAGGCAACACCATAGTGTTTTCCATAGTGGCTGCACCAGTCTGCATTCCCACCAGCAGTGTTTTAGAGTCCCCTTTTCTCCACACCCTCACCAACACTTGTTGTTGGATGATTTGTTGATGGCGGCCATTCTGACAGGTGTGAGGTGATACGTCATTGTTATTTTAATTTGCATCTCTCTGATGATTAGTGATGTTGAGCATTTCTTCATATGTCTTTTGGCCATTTGTATGTCCTGTTTGGAGAGGTGTCTATTTAGTTCCTCTGCCCATTTTTTAATTGGGTTCTTTGTCTTCCTTTTGTGGAGTTGTATGAGCACTCTATATGTATTGGAAATTAACCCCTTATCTGACATATCATTGGCAATATGCTCTCCCATACAGTGGGTTGCCTTTCCATATTGATGACTATATCTTTTGCTGTGCAGAAGTTTTTGAGTTTGATGTAGTCCCATGTGTTCATTTTCTCCTTTGCTTCTGTTGCCTTAGGTGGTATATCAGTGAAAATTCTGCTGCGTATGATGTCTGAAATTTTGTTGCCTACATTTTTGTCAAGGGTGTTTATGGATTCATGAGTCACATTTAAGTCTTTTATCCATTTTGAGTTTATTCTTGTGTATGGTGTAAGTTGATGGTCCAGTTTCATTTTTTTGCATGTAGCTGTCCAATTTTCCCAACACCATTTATTGAAGAGACTGTCTTTAGTCCACTGTATGCTCTTGCGACCTTTATCAAATAATAATTGAGCATATTATCTTGGGTCCATTTCTGGGTTCTCTGTTCTGTTACATTGTTCTATCTGCCTGTTCATGTGCCAGTACCAGGCTGGTTTTTTTGTGTGTGTGTTTTTTTTTTGTTGTTGTTTGTTTGTTTTTTTACAGTGGCTTTGTAGTATAACCTGAAATCTGGTAATGTGATCCCTCCAACTTTGTTCTTCTTTTTCAAGATTGCTGTGGCTATTTGAGGTCTTTTTTGATTCCATATGAACTTTTGAAGTATTTGTTCTAGTCCTGTGAAGTATGTCATTGGTATTTTTGATGGGGATTGCATTGAATCTACAGATTGCTTTGGGTAGTATGGACATTTGAATGATGTTAATTTTTCCAATCCATGAACAAGGTATGTGCTTCCACTTTTTTATATCTTCCTCTGTTTCTTTTTTCAACGTCCTGTAATTTTCTGCAAATAGGTCCTTTATTTCTTTGGTTAAGTTTATTGCTAGGTATCTTAATTTTTTTGCCATGATGGTAAGTGGGATTTTTTTTTTTTTTTTTTTTTTTTTTAGTTTCTCTTTCTGTGAATTCATCATTGGTGTATAAGAATGCCGTCGATTTCTAGATGTTAATTTTGTATCCTGCAACTTTGCCAAATTCATTTATTAAGTCTAGTAAATTTTTTATGGAGTCTTTGGGGTTTTCTACATATAGTATCATGTCATCTGCGAATAATGACATTTTCACTTCCTCCTTTCCAATTTAAATCCCTTTATTTTTTCTTCCTGTCTGATTGCTGTGGCTAAGACTTCCAGTGCTATGTTAAATCGAAGTGGTGAAAGTGGGCATCCTTGTCTTGTTCTTGTTCCTAAGGGAAATGCATTTAGTTTTTGCCCATTGAGTATGATGTTGGCTGTAGGTCTTTCATATATGGCCTTTATTATCTCAAGATATGATATCTCTATTTCCAAATTGCTGAGCATTTTTTTCAGAAATTAATGCTGTATTTTGTCAAATGCTTTTTCAGCATCTATCGATATAATCATGTGGTTTTTATTCTTTATTTTGTTTATGTAGTGTATCACATTTATTGATTTGTGAATATTGTACCAGCCTTGCATCCCTGGGATGAATCCCACTTGGTCATGGTGAATAATTTTTTTTAATGTATTGCTGAGTCC